TGCCTGGCACATAATAAACAAATAAGTAAATAAATCGGTACTCAGAAAATCAATACATTCTCATTAATAATCAGACCCACAGTGTGGTTTCTGTTTTTATAGATGAATTGAGGCCCAGTCAGTGAACTACCCAAGTTACAAAAAAAGGAGGAAAATACTAAACTTTTTGCAGCAGACATCCTAATTTCCCTAGGAACTGGAGCTATGCTGGAGAGAAGACTTATATATGGCTTAATTATGTCTGACTGAGTTCTCAACAGCTATTAGGCTACCGACAATCTGGGTACAGGAAAATGACAAAAAAGTACAGTAGTTACCATTAGCACATCTTAGTTTTAGTCATCAGAAGAGAAAAGCTGTCCTACCCAGATGTTGTCTTCTTTCTGATACTGTTTCCAGTTGTGTCCTGTGTCACTGAACATCAGGCTATAACTCGTCACCCAGTCAGAGCTTCCGTATCTTCCCTGCGTGGCCACTGCCGTAATCTCCACTCTGTGTCCCAGGTCCATCTGGAGCCACTGTTGAGCATTGGAATCTGCTGGGGACCAACCGCCAGCTCCTGGAAGAGGATTAGACAGACAGCATGGTAGTAACATCTCACACAGCCACAGCTTTCCACTCTCAAACAGAAATGAGACAGTGTTCAACTAAGATGTCTTTACCCTAAATATCCCCTGCTGCTGTCATTAAACCCCTGGTACTTTCTTGGCCAATTGTCATGCTCCTCTTCCAACTAATCTCTTTTCATGATTTAAGATTCACCTCAAATGCTGTTTCCTCTAGGACTCTTCTGCTCTTTGCTCAGTCTTTACAGTTTTCATCTTCTGGATTCCTAGTGGAATGTGTTTCTTTTCTTTTTATTATTTTTTTTACAACCTTAACCTTTAATATGCCTTACATATATCCTCTGCCTCACTAGTATCTCCTTCTTTCCTTCTTTTCTTTTTTCTGCATCCCTCTTTCTCTTTTCTTTGCTTCTTACCTCTCTCCAACAGTATGCTATGAACCTGCCATGGACCAATATTCTGATGTGGGTACAAAGATGAAGGATCACTGACTATGCTCATTCATTCAACAGATGTTTACTGAGTTCCAGGAGCATACTGGGTGCTGAAAAAAGACAGACATGCAAACAAAAACGTGCAATGTGATATGACAGGAAGCCTTACAAGATGTAAACGCAAGGTACAATCGGAGCACAGAGGACAGAAAGCCTCAGTAGGTGATCAGAAAGACCTAAAGACAGTGACAGTGGAGCTGAAACCTGAAACAAGCATAGCCATTTACTATGCATACAAGGTTGGATGAAGAGATATTTGGAGAGATCAACCAGGTTCAAGGGAACAGCATATGCAAAAGCTCAGAGATCCACATTCCTGGATCTCCATGTCATTCATTATGCCTGACACATAGGCATATTCTAACATGCAACAAAAGCCTTTGGGTCCCAGGGTTTTGTGATTTGACATACTGGAACTTTGTAGAAGATCAATATTAGCTCTTTCTTAGTTGTAATTTTTTTTGTTTTCATTTCATGTAGAAATTTTTTACTGACCTAAGAGTTCACAAAACTTCTGAACCCTGAATGCCCTATATCATAGGTGGGGATGGGAGGAAAGCAATCTCTTCAAACACCTTGCTCAGGGCATTGATTCAGGGAGTCAACTGAATT